AGCAAGTATGGAGACTTGAGGATGCTGTATTTGACTTGAAAAAATATCAATTAATTAACAAACAAAAACTTGTCTCGAAAGGATACGTCCAAAAACCACCCTCTTTGGGAGTTTCCGGATTGAACTTACTTTTAATATTGAACGAATGGTAATGAAAAGACACTCCTTGGCTTCTGAGGGACATGTTAGTATGCAGTATTTTTGTAATGGAGTATTACCGAAATTTAGAATGTAAAGTTAATTTCGAGTCGCGATTTACCGCTTAAACGTTCGGTATGTCTGCGGACTTACAACGCTAGAAACCGGGTTTCGATACCCGTGGTGGGCAGAGCACAGATAGCCCATTGTGTAGCTTTGTGCTTACCTTGAAAACAACAACAACAACTTTCAGCTGTGAGGGCATTTTAATCACGACAGTCAATCCATCTATTCTGTTGGAAATAACTGAAAAGGTGGCGGGTGTTGTTTAATGGATGCTCTTTCTTTGAGAAACAGCTAAAAGTTAGGCATGGTTTGCCTGAACCTTGGAGTTACTGAACTATTCGCCAAGTTGTAATTTAGGTTGAAAATACCGAATATTTAGTTGACTCAGAAGATTTGTCTATTAAGAATTTCCATAAAGTGTTAGTTAAAGATCATATATAGAGCCACTTCTGTAATTGTTGTTAACAAAATTGGTTCGACGATCAAAATTGAAAAGGTGTGTTCTTTTAATGATCAAATCAAAAATCTGATGTATACAGAATAATTATAACATAGAATGAAATATATATTTTATCTTTAAAATATTAGGATGACCAGTACTCATCCCATCATTTTTTGTATAAGTTTAGCGAAGAATGAATTGTTCATGTTGTTGATTGATGAATTTTGGTGATAAGTTTTAGCGTCGAAGTAATGAATAATTTTATTTAAAAGTTATGCACGTTTCGGTTTGTTTGTTGGATTTCACTCAAAACTATACGAGGGCTTCCTGCGATTTGTTTGTAATTAAACATAAAGCTACACAATGGGCTATCTGTGCTCTGCCCACCACGGGTATCGAAACCCGGATTCTAGTGTTGTAAGTCCGCAGACATACCGCTGTGCCACTGGGGGGGGGGGTGGCTTTCTGCGAAACAACCAGTAATTTTGAAGTGATAGACAACTAGCTACCCAACACCGTCCACGACCAACTCAAACGGAACAATGGGGTTTGACCACCATTTTTGTAACGCATCCATAGACCAAAATGTGGAGCTCGATTTTATTTTGGCGGCAACGGGACATGAACCATGAAACCTCAGCTCCATAGCCCAGTAAACTAATTACCAGGCCGAACGAACAGGAATTGTGTGATTAGAGAATTGATTAAATGATAACTTATCTAATCTCGTTACCAGGCCGAACAAACAGAAATTGTGTGATTAGAGAATTGATTAAATGATAACTTATCTAATCTCGTTACCAGGCCGAACAAACAGAAATTGTGTGATTAGAGAATTGATTAAATGATAACTTATCTAATCTCGTTACCAGGCCGAACAAACAGAAATTGTGTGATTAGAGAATTGATTAAATGATAACTTATCTAATCTCGTTACCAGGCCGAACAAACAGAAATTGTGTGATTAGAGAATTGATTAAACGATAACTTATCTAATCTCGTTTTCATAATCATTAGTGAATGATTTGATTAAATAATAACTTTATGCAATTATGTTCTCAGAATTATTTTTCGATAATTTTATTAGCTAAAAACTTATATCTAATTATGTTTACATGATTATTTCTCGATGATTATCAATGAGTTTTCTTTAAAAAGATATTGATATCAGTTAAAATTGTAACGGGGCCGAACGTGTTTTAGTAATTAGTGTGTCCAATCTTAGAATTCGAAGATTAATTATTCGCGTTCTGTTGTTTGCAAAAACGCAATCTTTAATTAGGGGCCGTTGATACACTATAAGTGAAACGGTAAACCTGGTCACATAAGAGTACCAAGAGTTTGAGTGTTTTTGAGTAGCTGCCTTCCCACTAGTCTGTCAGTTCAAAATATGGGACGGTTATATGATGATAGACCTCTTTTTGTAGCTTTGCACGAAAAGTGTAAAACAAGCAAACACACCGTAACATTTGTAAAGCATGTTTTTATCCTGTAAGAATTATTAAATGTTATATGCCTGTTAGTTAGCCCCTCCCTGTGACTCAGTAATAAACATGGGGCTTGCAACTTTAAAATTCTGGAGTTGAACGCTGCGGTGACACAGGGTAGATAACCTGGTGTGCAGTTTGTGCTTAAAAACAACAACAATCTTATCTACAAATTATATAATACAGTTCTCTTATCAGTTATAAAATGGTCCATTTACTAATTATTGTCCCGGGGCATGGCCAGGTGGTTAGGGGCGTTATAATGTGATGGTCAATCCCACTATTCGTTGGTAAAAGAGTAGCCCAAGAGTTGGCGGTGGGTGTTGATGATTAGCTGCCTACCCTATAGTCTTACACTGCTAAATTAGGGACGGCTAGCGCAGATAGCCCTCCTGCAGCTTTGCGCGAAATTAAAAACAAACAAACAAACAAATCACTAATTATTATGCTTTAACCTTTTTCTGTCTAAGTAAACATTTTTGAAATTGGTTCTCGATCCAACAAATCAAATCAAATTTTAAAGAGATAATATTTGTCTTTACATTTTCATGTTTCGATTTGTTGATTTTTATAAATATAAAAGGAAATATGTATTGATTAATGTCTCCCGGTGAGTAAGTTGTAAGTCTACGGACTTACAACACAAAATTCCTGGATATGATTCCCCGCCGTGGACAGAGTGCAGATAGTTCATTGTGTAGTGTCTCTTTAAAGAAAAGACAACACATTGCTTAATGAAAAGCAAACATTCTGGGGTAAGTGTTTTATAAAGTGTAAGTGATTACAAAGTGTTCACTGTTTCTATAGGCAAGTGTTATGTAACCTCAGCCTTCATTACCCATGTAAAAATATTATATATATATATAACAAAAATATATATCCATTCTAGGTTCAAGAAAAAATCAGTAACCAACTTACCATCTGTACAGATCTTTATCTCGTTTTTCTCAAGCTGAAGAAAATAGGCGACACAAAAGATTAGAATAAGAACGGCTAAACAGATTGTTTTACGAAAAACCCGGGTGATGCCGTGTAAGCGTCCAAACTTCATTTTTTCTCGTAAACTAACTAGGTGATCGCGTAGATCTGGTTGGAATATCCCAAGATATGACCGAATAAGTTACTCAATGGGAAGAATTGGCAAAGGAATCTCCGTGTTGTTGACGATGAACAAAATCACTAGCATTTATGCTTCAATTTTAATCCACGTGAACCATTACATCACATCAACAGGAAAAAAAAAAATCTTACCGTACGACTAATACTAGCAGTAGCAAAACTGTATTCAATCTCGACTGGGTCACATGACTTATATCTAATTAAAAATATGTATGCCATATCGTTTTATGGAATATTTTTCTTATGGTTCTTTTCCTCTATCTTGTCGTGAACGAAGCCCCGTTATCTACATAGATCTGTATGAGAATCCTACCAGCTGACGATGACATTGACTATATACGCGGTTCGTTCAACAGAGACGCTATGCGGTGAGTGCGTGATATCTATACAGAAGTATTTTTCAATTTTGTCGAAGAGAATAATAAAGAATCGTAGTAATATGAACTGTAAAAATGGTTGATCCTAAATCACAAAGAGGAAATTTAGAATAGCATGTGCTTAGATTTTTCTTGTATCTCTTTTTCTACGACATTTTAAGTCTGGTTAATTGGGAATTGTTTCTGAATGTTTTAATTCGATTATAATTCACAGAAGAAACAAAACAATGATACGAACTTGTCAGTTTCTTGATAAATGATAAGACTGAAATGTTTTGATTATGTAATAATGACCAAGTGAATGGTAGATACTTTGGATAAACACTTATTTTACCACCCTTCTTCGAATTAAGGTTACTGCGGGAAAAACATTATTTGTAACGTTGGACTGATGATGTTATTTTGATCAAAACGTAGATCAGTTGATTGTGAATCTAATAGGATTCGTTAGTTATTTTTATTTCGAAAGAAAAATGTATAGATTTGTTAGATTTACAGTTTACTTTTTGTTGTTCAGACTGGCACTAATAATTAGTATGATAATTTTTTAGTCTTAAGTATTTTGATTTTTGAATTATTTTGTCGTAATTATCTTAGATTTTCAAGTCATTGTTTGACACAGACAGCGAATATAAAGATTTTTTTGTTACGATTCTTTAAACATTCAAGTCTTGGTTTAACGTAGACGATGAGTATAAAGAAGTATTTTGTTATGAATCTGTAACATTTAATATTTGTTTAACGTGAACTGTGAATATATAGAATGATTTAGTTATGATTCTTTAAACATTCAAGTCTTGGTTTAACGTAGACGATGAGTATAAAGAATGATTTTGTTACGAATCTGTAACATTTAAGTATTTGTTTAACGTGAACTGTGAATATATAGAATGATTTAGTTATGATTCTGTAAACATTTAAGCCTTTGTTTAACGTAGACGGTGAGTATAAAGAATGATTTTGTTACGAATCTGTAACATTTAAGTATTTGTTTAACGTGATCTGTGAATATATAGAATGATTTAGTTATGATTCTGTAAACATTTAAGCCTTTGTTTAACGTAGACGGTGAGTATAAAGAATGATTTTGTTACGAGAAATTTTACTTCAATTCAAAGTTATCCTGTTTTTGGATGAAAAAAGTCATTTTAAATTTTGACTAAGTGTTCTTTGTAATCAATTTAAACACAATATTTTCTTTCCAAAAATGTTCTGTTTAGTTACATTCAATAGGGTAACGATAATACACTTCTAGGTGGTACAGACAATTGTGTAGTGTCTACATTTAATATAACCTCCAGTGGCTTAGCAGTTAGCCTGGTGGCTTATAACAATAAAAATCGAGGTTCGAAACCAGTTCTGGGCACAGCGCAGATACCCAGTTGTGCAGCGTGATGCTTGATAATATAACAAACAGTCCGTATTCAATACTTGGCAAAAACCTTTATCACACTAAAACAGTTTTAATCAAGAAAGTAACCCCAAATGGTGAATTTTCGACCTTTTACGATAAAATGTCACGATGGGTCTGAAACTACTACGTGATGGCTGTTCAACAATGTTGCAACATTTTTTATCTATATATATACTCCATCAGTCTCCCGTGAAGCTTGTAAATGCATATTCTTTATTATTTCATTAATGCATATAAATACAAAAAAAAAAAAACTATTCAAAAACGAGTATTATGAGTAGAACATATTTTTATGTATCATACATTCTATCTGATCACAGAACATATTTTTATGTATCATACATTCTATCTGATCACAGAACATATTTTTATGTACCATACATTCTATCTGATCACAGAACATATTTTTATGTACCATACATTCTATCTGATCATTGATAGAGATTACTTTGCACCTGACGTAAATATAACTTTTTTTAGATGTAACACGTTAACAACTTTAGGATTGCATTTACGGATTTTACAGAATTCTTGCACGTGAGTTCCGCCTACACATTCGTAGAATAATCCATTAATGTAAAGAAATAATAACTTAAAATTTAACGGAAAAAAATCTTCCTATGCATTTTTTATGGGATACGGAATTAAAAAAATCACCCTAAAAATCTTCTTGTGGATGTAAATTTCAACTCCGTCTAATACCAAATGACACCATTTGTTAACAACCAAATTATAATTATATATTTTCATCTAATTAGTTTCGCGTTTCAAGGTCTGCTTGTTTCACGAATTGCCAGATTAAACGTTTTTCCCGTGTATTGATTTCCCGTGAAAATTAACGTGTTACGTGACCTGATTATTAGTTTGCGTTGAGTTTCGTGATTGGTGCTTGATGGAGAAAAAGAAGAAGAAGCCCGATTTAACATTGGTGTAATATCTACAGAACAGCAATAGGAGATGAAACTGATAATTCGTGCGTAACGTCGTGTTACACTTGGCAGATTAATCTCATCGACTGCCAAGCTGTTAAGTTAATGAAAATCTCATATTGTTTCCTGGTCTGCTACGAATTGCTATGTGAAAGTGAATTCAAAACAGTTATCATTATTTAACATAACTTCTATATAGTACCAGTGTACATCTATTTATCTAACTGAGTTTAAGTATCAATGTTGTACTTATTGCATAAAACAGTGTGTTTTGTTGTGGAACTTCAATGCGATAATTGTATGTATATTAAAGTATACAACATTGTATTATTTATAACTATTCGCAATGGTTCTTTTTGTTGTCTCTAAAATTGAGAATGAGTGAATTTCAAGGCAGAGGCATCTTGCTTTACTTTACTATTTTGATATTTTTTTTTCGAGGTTATATTTTCTTTAGTTCTTATTGACCGATATTTCTCGTTTAGCAACTTGTATCATATAGTTTTCTAAAGAACACCCGGAACAAGAGTGTCAACCTTATTAAAAGGGTTAAACAAAGGAAATGTTACATTCTCCTATTTCCATTCGAGAGAGCAAACTTGAAAGAAATGAGTTAACGAAACTTGGTATTGATCGCTTTGTCACTACCAACTCCAAACTCAATTGCTCAAACCGACCGTTGATACATCTGTAATTTCTCAGAGACAACAACAACAGGGGGTGTGCAGCACATCACATGACCTGAATATTGAACCTAGCTGTTGTTTGTATTGAATAATTTATACAAATCTGGCGATATATTATAATAAAATCTAATTTAATAATTTATGTCTGGTTTTACATTTAAATATTCATTTTTCATCTATGTATAATGATTTTCTAATTAAACAGCATGGAGGAATATATATATATATATATTTATATGTGTATCCAAGTATTTACAAACTCACATTTAAAACTTTAACTGTCTTTCTTTAATGCCCCTTGTGGCTCAGCGGTAAGTCAGATTTACGACGCTAAAACTCGGGTTTCGACATCCGTGGTGAGCAGAGCACAGAAATCGCATTATGCAACTTTGCAAATTATTTAGATATTTTTCGTTTTGTACACATGTCCAAAGATCCTACCCGCTATTAAAAGAAATTTGGCTTAGTTTTTGTTAAGCGCAAAGCTACATAATGCGCTATCTGCGGTTAAAATCTTTGTATATGATGACACCCTGTACAGAATATCTAAAAAAATTGCAAACATATGTAGCACATGAATAAACTTTTCGGTATATTGTAAAATTCGTTGCTATTTCAGAAGATGTGTTGAAACAGAAAGGATTTCTTTATCGATTAATTCGTTTTCTGAGAAGTTAAAACAAAATGGCGATTGATTAAATGTCATGTTTAGAAATGAAAAACTAAGCTACCAGCATGCCATTCTGTTCTTAATTAATGCGCGTTTCTAACTCCTATTGTTATCTAGGCAGTTATTAATTTGCCTTAGATTCCATAAGTTAATATCAATCATCATATGTGTTTTTGTTTTGCTTTGCTACACAAGTGCAATCTGCATTAACCATCCTTTATTTTGAAATAATAGACTAGAAACAAAGCAGCTAGTTAACCGCACCAACTAATATGTATTGGATTGTTCTAATCAAATAGCCCCCAGTGGCACAGCGGTATGTCTGCGGAATTAGAACGCTAGAATCCGGGTTTCGATACCCGTAGTGAGCAGAGCACAGATAGCCCACTGTGTAGCTCTGTGCTTAATTACAAACAAACAAATTAATCAAATAGTGGGATTTTGTGGTAACGGGAAGGAACCGTGTACCCTTGGATAACTGTTTTGCACACCAAATGTCTTATGTTTGTTCATAAACTAATTCTGCTTCAACCTTATCATGGAAAACATTTATCGCGTGACATTCCTACAGCTCTTGGAAAGGAAAGAAGTGCCCCTTGGAAAGTGACCGAATAAGAGGTGTTCAGAAAATAATCTTAATACATAGAACAACAATTCATCAAAGGTGAAAAAAAAAGGAAAATAAATGAAAACCGAGAGTGGTTAAAGAAACAAGTCAAAGTAAACTCGGGCCCGACGCGGCCAGGTGGTTAGGGCCCTCAACTCGCAATCTGAGGGTCGCGTGTTCGAATCTCCTTCACACCAAACATGCTCGCCCTTTCAGCCGTGGGGGCGTTATAATGTGATGGTCAATGCCACTATTCGTTGGTAAAAGAGTAGCCCAAGAGTTGGCGATGGGTGGTGATGACTAGCTGCCTTCCCTCTAGTCTTACACTGCTAAATTAGGGACTGATAGCGCAGATAGCCCTCGTGTAGCTTTGCGCGAAATTCAAAAACAAACAAATAAACAAAGTAAACTCACGGGCATGAAGACAGTACACATTCTTCATTCAGAAGCCGGATCAGATAAATACCAGAGTTTTGTGTAATATCCAGTCACAAGAATAAGATAAAAAACAACAACAACAATAAAAAACAAGAAGAAGTAAAGAGAAAAATGTTCAGTTCCAGGAATAAAAATATTCTCGACTCGCATTCTGT